TAAAAAACCTTGAAAATAATAAAAAATTAAATTTAAGGTAATTTAGTTTTTTTTTCATATGTTATATTGTTGTAATTATTTTTTCCTGATGCAAATCTATAGTACACGTTCCTCCGCGTTCGTTTCGAATTCATTTTGATTACCCTGAACCCATTGTCAATGAGAAGTTAGGGTATAATGGTTTTATTATTTAATTCTTGAAAAAATATATTTACATTTTTTTTAGTCCTTTCAAAGTATTATTGATTTACTTCTTTGTTTCCTTAGTGCTTTGGTTCATAGCTATACTTTACCTCGACTTTATATCAAGACAATTCCTTTAGATTCGTCTCTCCGTTGCAGAAAATATGCTATACCGTCTTGTTAATGCAGCCAAAAAAAAAAAAGAAATGAAACATTTCTTTAAATAAATAAATAAATTTAAATTTTAATAAAATCGTGCATTTTTGCATTAGAGTCGCTTTGATTATTTGAAATCAAATGAAATCCTATTTATGGTTTTATATATTTATTTTTTATTTTTATTTATACATTTGCTTTTAAGTTTATCGTTTTGACTTATGTGAAGCCTTTGAAATTAAATAAGAATTAATTATTGTTTTAAAAACTACTTCTTATTCGTATATTAATAGTTCAAACAAATAATCTAACTGTTATTTGCTCCTATTAGAAAGTCTTATTATACATTCAAATAATCTTCGCTTACATAAGTAATATTTTATAATATCTATAAATTTGTATAATATTTTGTATAAGAGGTAATCAATAATAAACTACAATCATTGTTACATATCAAATAAGGTGTTTAACAAACGGAAAATTGTATCTATTATTTCCTAATCATTGTCTGCTATAGATATGAAGAAAATCGATTTAGTTGTAATGTCTGTAGACAGTCCAGCTGAAGCTTTTTAAGTACGTAGTTAAATGTGCACTAGTTCTTGCAGATAGTCCATGACACTAGCTTAGTGCACTTTGAACATAAGCAAGGCCTTATCATAAATAAATTGCACTTCCCCTTGCACATGCGGACGGGGGTTGCCTTCCTTTTCCTGAGGCTGGTTGTTTATACGCTTGGACGCAGTCATGAGCGCGTTGGCCACTGCCTACTTGGCGCGCTCCGTTTCGTCCAGTTATTGTGTGTGAGGGGGAGAGGCATGTAATTGCTTGAACTGTGTGCGCTAGTTGCACACCATACTGTTGTCCCGCTCGCACGCTCGCGGCTCATCAGACAACGGCCGCCATTATGAATGCGCGCCGAAGTTGAAAAACCGGTTGGCAGGCCGAAAGCACTCAACGGCATTGAGTGAAACGCCAACTGAGTGGAGAGGCCGACAACAGCAGCAGCAGCAGTCGCAGCAGCGGCAGCCGCAGCCAGTTCCAGGTGAAATTCAAGCCACTTGCGGCTGCCACTCAGTGTGCTGAGAGCGGCTTTCACGTGAACAACGTTCAAACGGAACAACGTCGACAACAATAACCAAACTCAGATTGAACCCATCAATTCGGCTGGGCGATGTACGCGGGTGCAGTGAGGAGCACGTTATGAATTTAATTGGCCGCATTGGGTTTCCGTTTGCCACCGAGACTGTCTCCATGCCCAGAGATTTGCGTGTATGTGACTGCTCCACAATCAATAATTGCGACGCGTCTGTGACTGTCACAGTGACCGTAACTGTGTCACTCACTTAGTGCTGTGTTGTGAAAACTCTCGAAACTGTAAAGCCAACTCTATCCAAGCTAAACGAATCGAATTTATAGCTAGGCGACCAAACGCTGCTGACATGTTGATAGAGCCGAGCTTGAACCGTGACTTTGGCTCGCTAACTGCTGCAGGTTCTAGCATTGCGGCTGCACACTGGAAAATGGAGCCACATCCCCAACGACTGTCATCGCTGGCACCGCACCCATCCAGTGGTAAGATTTGGGCACAATTCGAATGTCAACAAATGCCGACGGCGATTTACAAATTTCCTGCTAATGAATAGCCAATGGCCGAAGGACACTTTTTTCTCTTAGGGCTCATTAGGAATAAGCTTAGGATTAAGCTTTAACACTTGGCCAAATTTTTAGCCGTCAGTTGTTTCTATAGATTCTTTCTAGATTCTATATCATTTGCAGTTCCTCAAAAATTCATTCATTACGTTAGGCTACATATATCAGTTATAAATATATGAAAATATTTTGCCATTATAATGAATTGTTTTCGATAAACGCAAATTTTTCGTTTTTTGTTATTTTGTGTTTTTGTCGCTAATTGACAATTGGAGGGAAATACCGAAATACGAAAAGCTGGCGCTAAGCGGGAGTTAAGGGGCTCTGCACGGCGCACGAGCGAGACATTAGGAATAAATGCGAAACGAAATAAAACAATAAATATTAGTAGCGCTAATACTATAATATGTGTACCTCATATCCAACAAAAGCTGCACAGGTTCTGCGACAGCTGATTAAATATTTTAATTTTAATTTTAATTTGGTTTTTATGGCGTTAAATTATGTCCAGAAACAGAGTTAAATCTGTTGAGTGTTATTAAAGTTGTGTTCCATTCAAATATTAGTTTCTTTCTAAAAACACAATAAACAAGTATTTGCTTTCGCCATTGACAATTGAGCAACGCCATTGCTGCTGCTGCTGCTGCTGCTTATGTTGCTGCTGTCAGCAGCAGTTGCTCGGCGGCTTTGGCTCAGTTTAGTCAACGTCAACACAATTAACCGTTAATTTATCATAATTAACCATTGTGGCTGACAGTGCCAACAGTAAACCATAAAACAACAACAACAGTAGCAGCAGCAGCAATAACTAAAAACATAACAACAACAACAACAACATCCACTCCTAAAGGCATAATGATAACAATGGCCAATTATCATTCAATTCGTTCAATTGCAGTGGCGTCGGCTTCACCAACAGCCGCAACG